TATTTGTTAAACTTTTATCCTGAAGACTTGCTAACTAGTTTATTAGTTTTAATATCTATTTTTTGTGAATTCCTTAGGATTTTTAAAATACAGTCATGTAAGGTACAAATAGTGATCATTTTACTTTTTCCTTTATCATATGGAAAACATTTACTTCAATCTCTTGCTTTCTGTCTCTGGATAGAGCCTCCAGTATAACGTTGAATAGACTTGGAAAGAGTGGAGAGTTTGGTCTTGTTCCTGGTCTCAGGGCAAAAGCATTCTTTCTTTCAGCATTAAGTGTAATGTGAGTTGTGGGTTTTTCGTAGTTGTTTGTTATCAGGTTGAGATAGTTTCCTTGTATTCCAAGTTTGTTAAGTGTTGTTAATGTGAAATGGTGTTTGATTGTGTCAACTGCTTTTTCTAAGTCTTTTGAGATGATCATGAAATTTTTATCAATTATTCTATTAACAGATGTACTGCATTGATCAGTTTTCCTGGGTTAAATCAACCTATTGGTACTTTGGGTTAAACCAACTTTGCATTCCTGGTACAAGCACCACTTGGTCATGCTTTACCATTCTTTTTACATGGTTTTATTATTTTGTTGAGGATTTTCATAAGAAATTTTGGTCTGTAGTTTTTTAATACCCTGTGATGATGTTGCTTGTCTTTGTTTGCTTTTTTAAAAATACCTTTTTTAATTTATGCTCTTACAGTTGTTCAAGTTTTTCCCTTTTGCCCCCTTGCCCCTTACCTACCCATTCCCACAGTCAATCCCCATACCATTGTCCATGGGCCATTCATACATTCTTTGTCTAATCCCTTCAGCTTCTTTCTCCTAGTCCCCACCTCCCCACTCTCCTCCTATAGCTGTCAATCTGTTCTGTGTATCCATGCCTCTGATTCTATTTTGCTCACTAGTTGATTTTGTTCATTATATTCCAATGATAAGTGAGATCATATGCTATTTGCCTTTCATTGACCAGCTTATTTCATGTAGCATATTAGTGTCCAGTTCCATCCATGCTGTCACAAAGAGTAAGAATTGCTTCTTTTTATTGCTGTGTAGTATTCCAATTTTGTATATATGTACCACAGTTGTTTTAAACTTTTTATTGTTGTTCAATTACAGTTGCCCCCATTTCCCCCCATTACTCCCCCTGCTCTGCCCACCCCCTTCTCCCACATTCAATCCTCCCCTCACCCGCCCCCCCCGCCTCGTTGTCCTTGTCCATGTGTACCACAGCTATTTTGTCCACTCATCACTGACTAGCACTTAGGCTGTTTCGAGATCTTGGCTACTGTAAATAATGCTGCTGTGAACATAGGGGTGCATATATTCTTCTGAATTGGTGTTATGGTGTTGTTTGAATATATTCCCAGAAGTGGAATGGCTGGGTCAAAATGCAGTTTCATTTTGAATTTTTTGAGGAAACTCCATACTGTTTTCCAGAGTGGTTGCACCAGTCTGCATTTCTACCAACACAGCACTAAGGTTCCCTCCTCTAAACATCCTTGCCAGCACTTGTTGTTTGTTGATTTATTAATGATGGCCATTTTAGCAGGAGTGAGGTGATACCTCATTGTGGTTTTGATTTGCATCTCTCTGATGATTACTGATGTTGAACAATTTTGCAAATGTCCATGGACCCTCTGTATGTCCTCCTTGGAGAAGTGTCTATTCTGGCCCTTTGCCATTTTTTAAATTGGATTATTTGTTTTCCTGGTGTTGAGTCATATGGGTTTTGTATATATTTCGGAGATTAAACCCTTGTCCTGTGTATCATTGGCAAATATGTTCTCCCCCACAGTGGGTTCTTTTTCATTTTGCTGATGGTTTCTTTAGCTGTGAAGAAGCTTTTTAATGTGATATAGTTCCATGTGTTTATTTTTCCAGTTTCCCTTACCTTAGGAGATATATCAGCAACAATATTTCTAGGAGACATATGTGAAATTTTACTGCCTGTTTTCCTCTAGAATTTTTATGACATTGCAATTTATATTTAAGTCTTTTATCCACTTTGAGTTATTCTAGTGTGTGGTATAAGTTGGTGGTCTCGTGTCTGCTTTTGTTATCAGGGTAATGGTGCCATTATAGAATGAATTGGAAAATATTCCCTATTCTATTATTTTTCTTTTTCTTTTTTGCAGAGTTTGAGGATACTGGTGTTAATTTTTCTTTAAAGGTTTGGTGGAATTAATCAGTGAAGCCATCTGGGCCTGGGCTTTTATTTGTAGGAATGTTTTGTTTACTGATTCAATCTCTCTACTTGTTTGTTATAGGTTTATTTAGATTTCCTAAATCTTCTTCAGTCAGTTCCAGCAGTTTATGTTTTTCTAGAAAATGGTCCTTTTTTTTAGGTTATGTAATTTGTTGGTTTAACATATTTCATAATCCTTCCTTAAAGTTCTTTTAAATGTTTCTATGGGGTTAATTTCTATGAATGACCTCTCTTTCATTCCTGATGTTAGTAATTTGCATCATCCTAGCTTTTGGCTAGTCAGTCTAGCTAAACTTTTGTCATTTTGCTGATCTTTGCAAAGAACTAACTTTTGGTGTCATTTTCTGTATTGTTTTTGTATTTTCTGTGCTATCTATTCCCAATCTAGTTTATATTCTTTTCTTTCTTCTGCTTGCTTTTCATTCTTTTGGCTACTTTCATTATTTCTTTTTGATTCTTAAAGTGGAATGTTAAGTTATTGATTTGAGCTTCTTTTTCTTCTTTTCCTTCTTCTTTCCTTTCTTTTTTTCCTTTTGCTCCTTCTTAAGCCTTTTAATTTCATGCAGTCCCATTTGTTTATCTTTCCTTTCTTTCTCTTGCCCTAGGAGATATATCAGCAACAATAATACCTTCAAAATAGACTTTTTTCTAGACTATTTTTAGTTCTTCAGCAATATTTGAGTAGAAGCACAGAGAGTTCCTACATATTCCTGCCCCCACATACACAACCTCCCCCATTACCAACATCGGGCATCACAGCAGGACATTTATTGCAGTTGGCGAGCCAACACCGACACACCATAATCACTCAAAGTTCATGGTTTACACCAGAGTTCACTTTGGTGTTTTATATTCTATGGCTTCTGACAGATATAAAATGACATGTATCCACCATTACACTGTCACACAGAATAGTCACTGTGCTCTGTCTGTCTATCCTCACCGCCCCTGACCCTGGAAATCACAGATACTATTACTGTCTTCATATGTTTGCCTTTTGAAGAATTCCATGCTTTTGGGGTCATTATAATATGTAGCCTTTCAGATCGTGTTTTTTCACCTAGTGATATGTATTTATGTTTTTCTCATGTCTTTTTATAGCTTTGTGGCTCATTTTTTCCCACAGTAAATAATATTCCCTCGTATGGATGTGCCACAATTTGTTTATCTGCTCACCTATGGAAGGACACCTTGACTGTTCTCCAGTTTTGCAATTATAAGTAAAGGTGCTATAAAAATCCATATACAGGATTTAGTGTGGACATAGGTTTTCAATCCACTTGAGTAAATAACAGGAAACACGATTGATGGGTAACGTGGTAATGATGTGTTTAGTTTTGTAGGAATCTGTGACGAGGCCACATCACTTTGCATTCCCACCAGCAATGTAAGAGAGTTTCTGTTGCTTCACACTCTTTCAGCTTTTGGTGCTGTCTTATTCTAGATTTTGGCCATTCTAATGGGTGTGTAGTTTTACCTGTTATTTCTTTTTAAAATCTAGGCATTGATATCTCTACAAGTCCCTCTAAGCACTAAACTAGCTGCATAAAATAGCTATTGGTATGTTGCTCTTTTTTCCATTCATCTCAAAGTTTTTAAACTACCCCTGTGACTTTATCTTTGACCTATTGATTATTTAGGCATATGTTGTTTCATTTCAGTGACTGTGTGAATTTCCTAGATTTCCCTGTGTTATTGATTTCCAAATTCATTCCATTATGTTCAGAGAATAGAATTTATATGATTTTAATTTTGTTAAATTTATTGATATCTGCTTCATGTGGCATCTTGGTTTTGCATAGAACTTTATTTGATACCCATTTGAAAATTCCCCTTGGTTACCTCAAAGGCACTAGGGATAAACATGCATAAAACCTCACCTATGATGTCCCATTCCCCACCCACTCATCTTCCAGTATTTCTCCTCTCAGTGAAGGGACCGCCATCCCATGTGTTCCTATAGCCTGAACCTAAGATCATCTTCTGTCTCTACCTTCTTTTCTCTGTGAATCCAATTACTCATTCCGGTTTATTTTACTTTATTTTAGATCTCTTCAATCCCTTCATTTCTGTCCATTTCCATGGACAACACTGTAGTTCAAAATATCACATGCAGAAACTATAATAATATCCCTAAGTTTAAGCTCTCACCATTTAATAGGAACAGATGAAACTTCCCTATGAACTGGTTTCCAAACCTCTGCTTTTGCTCTCCTCCATTCTGTTTTAATATTGCAGTGTATTTCTCCTTTGAAAATCTACTGATCTGATGAACCTTTGATTATAATCATGTTGCATTAGAAAAGCATCCCCAGATTCCATCGGGACCTTGCATAGAGGGTCTGGCTGCATGATCCCTGTAGCCCCTGCTGCTCCTTCGCTCTCCATCCTCCAGCCTCACTGGCCGGCTTTCAATTCCATGACAGCCCTTCCTTCCTCCTGCACAGGGACTTTGACCTTTCTTCCCTCCTGCTTCACTTATGTAAATCCTCTGTATCTTCAGATATCCTTCCATATTTGCTTTCTTAAGGTTGTTTTCATGGGAGGCCCTTATCTGGACCTGTAATTACATGTGTTTGTGTCAGTTAATGGTAATCACCTGCAAGCTCTGTGAAGCTGGAATCCTGTCTGTGTTTGCTCACTGTAGTAGCCATGGCCCCTGGCACAGTGCATGGCCAGAGAGGGGCTCAGTGAATGTTTGTTGAATACAACGTCCACACCCCCATTCTGAGCCCAACTTCTATCTTGAATCTCCCGTCTATCCCTGTTTCAGAATAGAACTGGGGCCAGACTCACCTCAGGGTCTTCATGTGGCAGTTATGAGATTTCAGGGCCTCACAGAGACTGTGCACTACAGAGCAGCTCAGGAAGTTTCCACTCAGGTCCAGCTCCTGCAGGCTCCCATCAGCATAGAAAATGGAGAAGAAAATCTGCCACCAGGCATCTGTAAATGGGCTCAAGCTGGACCTAAGGGTGAGAGAACCAGAAGAGATGAGACCAGTGTGTGGGCGGGGAGGGGGGGTCTATGTGTACAGCCCTGCATAACACAGTGGGGTTTGGATCCTCTGAGCCAGGCTGCATTGGGCAGGGCGACCCCCATGGGTGGTCAGCCTCCCCAACTGCCCCTCTGCTCCCACCACCCTGGGCTAAGTGCCTCAGTTTCATGAGGCTTCTCATTGTATAGCCCCTGCCTCTCTCTGCTGCAGTGTTCACTTGGCAGGTCTGTTTCTATCTCATTCTGGGACAGTCTTGTGGGCAGGGGCTAATCTATTTGATCCGCAGTGTCCAGCACAAGGCCTGGCACAGAGCTTGGGGACACAGACAGTCTTCCTCTCTTCAATGCAGACCTGCCTTTCTTCCTGTGGCTCTGATGTTGTGAAGTCCCAGTTCCCAGAAAGGAAAGGAGGAGACGGGAGGAGGGAATGGAGCCTGGAAGAGGTGGGCAAAGATAATTTTGTAGGACAGTTTGGTGGAGGGGGTTGGAAATTAGCAATTGGAGGGACTGAGTAAAAAGGGAAATGGACTCCTGGACATAGATAATAGTGTGGTAATTGCTAGGGGGAGGGAGGTGTAAGGGGACAAATTGGTAATGAAAAAATATAATAAAGATTAAATAAAAAAGGTAATTCTGTGATTGGATATTGTGTCTAACTACATATGCTGCTGTCCAGCTTCAGTGGGACCCTGTCCCCTCTCAGGATAGCAAGACACAGCAAGGGTGTCCAGGACAGAGATGGCGAAGGGGACTGTCTCAGAAGGGGACATTTGCAGGATGTGGGGAGAGGATGATGGGCCTCATCTAGGAGTTTTAGTGCAGACTGCTTTGTGTAATTTCCACTAATTTAAATTACATATTTTCACACACTATTTAACTGATTTTATCTAATACCAAGGCACAGTGACTCAGACTCTGTTTCACATTGCAAAATGATATCTCTTTTTTCTTGCCAACTATTTCCACCTTGACAGACCAGTAGCACCTTGACCTGATATGTCCCCAACTCCATTCATCCTTCCCCCTCCCAAGTCTGCAGAGCTGAGCAGAGGCGAGGAGCAGAGGCTCTGGAGCCAGCTCTCAGCACGTGAATTCCACTGGTCTGTGCCTCACTCAGTCTCCTTGATGCCAGAAGGGCACAAGAGGCCCTGCTGCAGAGGGTTCCGTGAGGACGTGAAAGTGCTATACTTTCACAAATCTCAGTGTGGTTGTAATGCTCACAGCTCTAAGATGTATACATGCTTCAAAGGTACCAAAACATTTATTATTCCAAAGTTTAATTATTTTTAATATTTATAGTATTTTATTATACTATGTTTTAGCTCTCTTATACCCCACCGCCCCCTCAGCAATATAATTACTTGTTTTTTAAAACATTTATTCAGTTTTGGGGAAACTGAATAATAATTTTTAAACTTTTTGTATTTTTGAATGCTTGCCAACTTTAATCCTTAAAGAGACTAAAAAAAATTAAATTTTCTTTTTTATCAAAAGGCACAGTGCTTAATTACAAACCAAATACTTGAGCTGCTCATACATCCTGTCTCCTATTGGTCCTTGTCTCCCTCCCACAGCCTTGGGACAATCTCTACCATTTCCTCCTGGACTTCTTGTGTGTTTACAGTGTCCTTGCTATTCTCTCTGTCTTGCACAGCTGACTCAGTGTCTTTAAAATCCCCCTGCCCACAGCAGCTACAGCTTCTGACTTTCCCATGGGAGTCCCTCCAGACTCCAGGTGCCACCGTGCACTGCAAACTCTCTTCATCATGGTGCCCTTGACTCCTCCTGCTACTCACCTCACCTCTGCCTCTGCCTGCTCAGGGTACTTCCAAGGCCACCACCACTTGTGACACCTGTACCCAGGCCCTTTAAAGACCAGTTCACCTTTGTAACCATAACAACTTGAAATAAACTAAGTGCCTGAGGAAAGATAATGGTCAGATAGTTGTGGCACCTTCCCTATGGAACACCATATGCTCATTCGAATGGCATTGTATCAGGCTACTTTATAGCATGAGAGGGGAGTCTTTGTATAAAAATAAAGAAATAACACTGTGAAATGAAGTACATAGTACGGCTCACTTTTGCTTTAGAGATGTGCATAAAAATAAGACTAGAGGACACATACTTGCATTTTTATTGATGGTGACCTCTGAGTGATGGAATCCTGGCTAATAATTAATTTTGACCTTGTTGTATACTTATATGTTCTCACTTTCCTACAATGAACATAAGTTTTATATTAGAAAAAAATTACAAATCCAAAAATAGAACACCCAAGCCCTACATTTCCTCCTTGGAGTCTGTCATTTTTTGTGGTGCACTTTGGGGATCCCTCCCTTCCTAGGGCTGCCATTCTGCCTCATCTGTCCTTTTACTCTGTTCTAGTTACCAGATGGATGTCTGTCTTCTCTCCCAGATTTGAGTTCCTTGAGACATGTATGTGTTTCATTAAACTGTGATCCACAGGGCCTGCCATAAAATCAGTCCTTAAAACACATTTATGAAATGAGTCTACAGAGGAAAGGGTTAGTCAAACAAATAAAGGATCAATACTGCCACTGAGGTGGGGAACTGGATGTGGAAGTTAATGGTGTTGCTGGGCTTAGAGATTGATGGGAGAGAGCCCCTTTGGTCATACTCAGGTAGGGTTTCACTGGGATAATAGTGCATCATTGCACAAACCAATTTTTGTGCAGTCTCTGGCTTTCCCGTGGGAGACCCTCCAGACTCCAGGTGCCAAGAAAAATACAGCCCCATTTTTGGAGACACAGATTCTGAGGTGATGGTATAGATTTCAGGGACAATGTCATAGTCAACATACATCAAGGGGATGACTGAAGCAGCTGAGTGAGCAGTGCCTGGAGGGAAGCATGTCAAGAGGGAGAAACAGAGGCAGGGGTGCTGGGTGGATGGGAGCTGATGTGAGATTGCAGGTGGACTTGCACACGGGGTGAAGGTGGCCATCATGAGAGAGACAGGAGGAGAAGCAGCGCTACAAGACAGGGAAACAGCAGGTCGCTTAGAAGCATGTAGGGAAGGCTTCATGGTTAGACACTGCTGCACAGAATCCTAGGTAGACAGAGAATGGGAGTCGCAATGGGTTGAAAGAACTCCTTGGTGACCTCGGTCCTTTAGTTACTGAGGCCAGGCTTAGTGAGAGTTCCTCCAGGACTCAGGAGAGAGGGAACAAGAAAGTAGCTGGGGGGAGGTGAGGGGTAGCTCTCACAGAATGACATATGAAGGCCTTTGTGCTTCTCTGTGCGGTCCACCCTCATTCAGTTGCAGCCTCTTCATGAGCGGGCTGAATTTAATGCAGAAAGTGAACACCAGGAGCTCCAAGTCAGTTTGGACACATATCCTCATTTCAGGGAAACCGGGTATCACTTTCATCAGAAAACTTGCATCCCGAAACTCATAAAAGGACTGGAGCAAGTGCCAACAATATGGCTCTAGGTTCTGCTGTGTGTGGTTGACCTCTTTCTTGGCCAATTGTAGCAGCTTGTGATGCCTCTCCCAAGACAGCTGGCATTTGAAGATACTCTCCAGCTCTCTTATCCCCTGCTCACTCAAAAGGCCAAATAAAAAACATGTGCTTGGTTCCCCAAACACAAGAACTATCCCGTATTCTCCTATGAACTCCATCTTATTTCTGATGTTTATTAACTCATCCCCTAAAGCACAGGACATTGCTGCAAAGAACCCCTGGAAACACAGGTGAATGAAGCTGTAGCTCAGAGAGGAGGGGTGCTTCTGAAGAACACCCATTTTTTTAAATTTTATTTAAATTGTTGTTTCAGTACAATTTTCTATCTTTTACTCCCATCCCAACCCACCCACCCAGCCCTCCCTTCCTCCCTCCCATTTCCACCCACCCCTAGTTTTTATCCATGTGTCCTTTATACTTGTTCCTTTAAACCCTTCCCCTTTTCCCCTGAAATTCTCTCTCCTCTCCCCTCTGAACTCTGTCAGTCTGTTCTTTATCTCAGTGTCTTTGGTTATATTTTGCTTATTTCTTTGTTTTGTTGTTTAGGTTCCTGTTAAAGCTGAGATCATATGGTATTTGTCTTTCACTGCCTGGCTTATTTCGCTTAGCATAATGCTTTCCAGTTCCATCCATGCTGTTGCAAAGAGTAGGAGCTCCTTCTTTCTTTCTGCTGCATAGAATTCCATTGTGTAAATGTACCATAGTTTTTCGATCCATTCATTTACTGATGGGCATCTAGGTTGCTTCCAACACTTGGCTATTGTAAATTGTGCTACTATGAACATTGGGGTGCATAGGTTCTTTTGGATTGGTGTTTTAGGGTTCTTAGGATATAATCCTGGCAGTGGAATTGCTGGGTCAAAAGGCAGATCCATTTTTAGTTTTCTGAGGAAGTTCCATACTGCTTTCCATAGTGGTTGTACCAGTCTGCAGTCCCACCAACAGTGTACTAGGGTCCCCTTCTCACCACAACGTCTCCAACGCTTGTTGTTTGTTGCTTTGTTTATGATGGCCATTCTGACTGGTGTAAAGTGGTATCTCATTGTGGTTGTAATTTGTATCTCTCTGACAGCTAGCGATATTGAGCATCTTTTCATGTGTTTCTGGATCCTCCGTATTTCCTCCTTGGAGGAGTGTCTGTTCAAGTCCTTTGTCCATTTTTTAATTGGGTTGTTTGTCTTCTTAGAGTGGAGTCATGTAAGTTCTTTATATATTTTGGAGATTAAACCCTTGTCTGAGGTATCATTGGCAAATATGTTTTCCCATACAGTTGGTTCTCTTTTTATTTTGATACTGTTTTCTTTAGCTGTGCAGAAGCTTTTTATTTTGATGAGATCCCATTTGTTTATTCTTTCCTTTATGTCCCTTACTCTGGGGGACATATCAGTAAAAATGTTGCTGCATGAAATATCTGAGATTTTCCTGCCTATGTTTTCCTCTAGGACTTTAATGGTGACATGGCTTATATTTAAGTCTTTTATCCACCTTGAATTTATTTTTGTGTATGGTGTATGTTGGTGCTCGAGTTTCATTCTCTTGCACGTAGCTGTCCAGTTTTCCCAACACCATTTGTTGAAGAGACTGTTTTTACTCCATTTTATGTTGCTGCCCCCTTTGTCAAATATTAATTGACCATAGAGACTTGGGCTTATTTCTGGGCTCTCTGTTCTGTTCCATTGGTCCATGTGCCTGTTTTTATGCCAGTACCAGGCTGTTTTGATTACAGTGTTCTTATAATACAGTTTGCTATCAGGTATTGTGATTCCTCCTACTTTGCTTTCCTTTCTCAAAATTGCAGCAGCTATTTGGGGTCATTTATGGTTCCACATAAATTTTTGAAGTGTTTAGAACACCCATCTTTAAGAGAGTGGAGGTGATGTCCTCATCTAACCCATACTTTTGAGGTCCTCTGGGTTCAACAGGATCTTTCCTTGCCTGGTGCCCTTAGCAGCCAGAGAGCAGAAGTCCCATAGCTTAGTCCTGAAGGACTGAGCTCAGAGAATGTGGAAAAAGTAGCACAGACAGAGCACAGTGGTCATCTGGCAGGTCAGTGACAGTTCTGGTCCCTGATCCATCTGCTGCTTCAGGAAAGTGTAGACCAGCTAGGACACCAAGGGCATGACACACATGGTCAAGAGTGCCAGTATTGATTTGACTGAGCTGAAGGCTTTAATTGCTTGGCTTTCATTTGTGAAGTATGTGTAGAAATAGTCCCTCCTGGCTGACTCAGAGAATCCCAGGACCTCCACCCAGCGTGGCTGCTTTAAAGAAGGAATGAACTTCCTCAGAGCTGTGATCCGAGCTGTGATCCAAGCTGTGATTAGCAGGGAAGCCCCAGGAAGTAAGGTTTTCTTTAGCAAACTGCTCAGCATTGTGCGCACCTGCTGCTGCTGGCTCCAGTGCAGACAGAACTAGGAACTGTGCTGCTTCAAGTCCCATTTTGGTTCATCCAAGTTATCAAGAATGAAGAACAGCTGTTCTGGCTGAGACAGGATCTGTCCAATGGGAGCTGCAGGGCCAGCCCAGTCTTTTGAGATGAGCTCAGGAGACTCATTGTCCTGGACTGGGCCAGGTCTCTGCAGTTGAAGTAGGAGACATGCTGGAAGTGGTCCCTGTACAGCCTGCCTTCCTCCCAGGCTCTCCTCACCTGCCTGGCCAGGGTTGACTTTGCAATTCCAGCAGACCCTTCCACATGCAGTATGACTGTGGAAGGCTCTTGCTGAGTACCTGGGTCTGGGCCAAATAGGTCTCCGACCTCAGTCAAATGTTTTTGATTCTCTATCACCTCATGTTTCATCAACAAGAGTGGTAGATAATATCCTCTGGGTTTAGATCTGTGTAGAAGTAGCAGTTGTGTGACTTTTTGTTGGATATCCTCATTTTTCCATGACTGTGTGGGGTAGGGATTCTCTCTCTTTTGCTTCTGGAATTTTTCTGTGATTCCTAGGTGAGGGAGGGAAAGATGGAACATAAAGGTATAGAATACATTTGTTTAACTTTCAAAACTCTCCTCCTACCACTAACACATCTAATAAGTTACAGATTCATTTATGCTTTTGCCCAGGAGTTGGCAAACTCAGGCCAAATCTAGATGGGCACCTGTTGTACAACCTGTGACATAAGAATGGTTGCTATACTTTTAAATAATTGAAAAGTCAAAGAATGATTTACATGATTTCATCATGTAAAAGTTATATAAAATTTCCACTCTGCAAAGAGATGTGGACATCTAGGTACATGAAACTCCTAAGTCCTGATACAGACCCCACCCCAAAAGGACTTCACTCATCACATTATACTAAGATTGTCTGAAATCAAAGACAAAGGGAATCTAAAAGCAGCAAGAGCAGAATGGCTCATTGTACACAAGGGCAGCCCCATTAGGCTGTGAGCAGGTTTTTCAGCAGAAACCTCACTGGCCTGGAGAGAGTGGATGATACATTCAAAGTGCTGAAAGAAAATAGCTGTCAGTGAAGAATAATTTACCCGACAAAGGTTCAGTAATGAAGGAGAAATGAAGGCTTTCCAGATAAACAGAAGCTGAAGAAGTTCATTACCACTTGCAGTGACTCTAGAAAATGTAAATAGGAGTTCTTCAAGTGAACTAAGAGATGCTAATTTGTATCATGAAAACATACAAAAGTATAAACCTCACTGATAAAGGTAAGTGTATAATCAAATTCAGAATGATTGATACTGTACTGAATACAGTGTATAATACAAATTCAGAATAGTTGATAGTGTATTAGTTGATACTCTAGTAGAATGGTGAAAGGAGAAAAGTATCAGCAAAGCTAGAAGTTTGTAGTGGGGGGTAGGGTTTGTCAGGCTGGAGCAACTCCTGGGAGCTGGTAGAGGGGGCTGGAGGCACTGGTGACAGGACAGTGATGGTGGCCTTGGGAAGTCCTTGGGGAATGCTGTAGGTCACTGGGTGATGAAGATCAGGCACCTGACTTGAGCAGTGTGACAGCCTCTGGGAGAAAGTGAGAATGTGTGTGGTGTTGACCCTGTCCCTTCACTTCAGATTTTATGTTCCTTTGCTTCAAGTGAATTCCTAGATCAGAGTCTCTGCTGAGATATGAGTTTTAAGAATTTGGGGAATCCCTGATGCTTTGTAACTTCAGAGGTGTCATGAGCTAAAAAGTTCACTTTTTGGGGAGTTCTGTTTTGCCAGTCATCTCTCCTAGTAGACCACCAGATGTGGACTCTATGAAAGATGACAGAAGGCCCTGGCTGGTATTGCTCAGTGGATTGAGCACCAGCCTGTAAACTGAAAGAGTGCTGGTTCAATTCCAAGTCAGGGTATATGACTCAGTTATGGCCCAGGTCCTCAGGTGGTGTCGTGCAACAGGCAACCAATCAATGATTCTCACATTGATGCTTCTCTCCTTTTTCTCCCTCCCTTTTTCTGCTCTCAAAACAAACAAACAAACAAACAACTAAGTAAATAAACAAATAAATCATTAAAAGAAAGATGACAGAAGATGACAGAAGTTGTTACAGCCAGGTGGGACTGAATTGCCCAACAGAACCTGGAACTCAACATCAAGAAGAACCAGCACATGTGGCTGCTGAATGATTCCAGGACGTGGTGACGGTGGTGGGTGAGGAACGTGGACAGCAGGACAGGCTACATGCCGTCAAACTACAGCCTGAAGAAAGGGTCCCTCATGAAGAATGTGAAGGACATACCAGGCCCCTGTAGACCAAGAGGAAGACTTGCACGTGGGATGTGTCCCTGATACCAGCACAGATGGTGACCACCCCGCCAATGTAGGCAGCGCTAACTGCTTCTATGACCTCAACATCCCAGACTTTGTCAAGTTTCCCTATGTGACTGTGAAAGTGGATGAACTGTTCCCAGTAAAGTGGTCATGTATTACTCTCATGGAGAAGGGCAGTGATGGCTGCTGGGCTGGCAGCTAGTATGGGATGGTTCCCTTCCAACTACCTCCTGGATGAGGTGGGCAAGTTGAATGCCAAGTCCCACAGCTTCCCTAGTTGGTACAAGGCTGGCCCAAGCTATGGCCTAGGCACCTATGTCCTTCATGGGGTCCAGAAACTGTACTCTTTCAGTTTGTTCCCTGAGAAGCTACTCTTTGAGAAAGGAGAGACAATGGAGGTAATAGAAAAGCTCTAGACATAAAGAGCAGGTCAGCCATGTGCCACAGCACTAGGTGGTGGTCCCCAGTAACAGGTCCTTCCTGTCCCCATTCTATGCCCCATAGATCAGCTACTTAGGAGGGGACAGGGGGCACCTCGCAGGCAGAGAGTGGTACTATGGGAACAATGTGCCACTAGGCCAGATGCATGCTCAGTGAGCAGTGCCAGAGGGGCGACTTCCTTATTAGGGTCAGCAAATTCTCACCCAGTCACTTGTCTTTGTCTCTCAAAGCATCAGGGAAGAACTAACATTTGAAGGTACAGCTTGTGAAGAAAGTCTACTGCATCAGGCAGCAGCAGGTTCACACACAGACAGGTGCTGGGACACCACAGAAGGCCCATCGTCACCAGTGAGTATGGGGAGAAGCTGTGCCTCACTGGAGGACTTCAGTGATGTCCTCCCTGTGGGCCCTGCTGCCTCCAGGTCCCAGTGCCACACTTATTTCCCCAGAGCTGAGTGGGTGGCTCCAAGAAGTCCTGGTGGGTCACCTGTCTCCTGTGGGCCTGCTCTACCCAGTGGCTCCTCCCCTGTTGGCTTCCTTTGCCTGGTTGATCTTTCTATCCAGGTCCTTTTTTTCTGTCTGCCTCCCTTTTGCCACCCCAGGCCCTCATTCCAGTCAAGGTCACTCCCAGACCCCACACCAGCCAGTTGTAGAGAATGAATGTTGGAAGAGGGGCAAGTGTGCTCATTTTGTTCCTTCTCAATTGGAAACAGCCCTAGGTTGTTCAAACTGTTCCCACCATCAGCACCCTCAGCACAAAGATGCTGGGCTCAGCTGGAATGCACTGAAGCTGCCCTTGGTGAAATGACCTATAGTGCACTGCAAGGGGACCCTGTTACATATGGCACCTGGCTGGGTAAGTTTCACTGACTGGCCTGCCTGAGTCTCAGTCTACTGTCTGTCAAATCAGAGGGCATGTGATCTCAACTCTGCAATGTTCCTGAAAGATCATTTCTAGGCCTACTGGCCCCACCACCCCATCCTGGCTCCTCTGTCCCCCTTATGCAGCTTCCTGGCCCAGGTCCTCCTGCAGCTACAGCCTCACCTGGGTGCACACCCACTGGCTGCAGTGTAGCCACCCCTGGGCCTCTCATGACAACTCAGCAAGCCTCTCTTTCCAGCTCTGTCCATCTGTCAGGCAAGAGTTTCAAGTTCTTTCTAAGTCCTGGAGGGGCCCCAGGACTCAGGGTCATAGTGTTTCAGCACCATGGTGGAGGGGAACGCTGTAGGAAAGGTCTGTTTGGAATTGGGGGGGTAGTGGAATGGAGGACATGGGGCTGTGGGAAGCAGGTAAGAGGGTTGAGGCTGGTGAGCAAGGAGGGCAGGAGCCAGGGCACTGATGCTGGGGTCCTCCAACCAGGAAGCACCAGGAAGCAGAGACCCTGATTACTGAGAGAGGCCAGGAGGGACCAATGTACCCACTGCAGCCTGCCCCAGCCTCTCAGGCAGAAGGACATCCTGACACTGCTGGGCACAGGTCCTGACCTGGCTCCAGGAAGTTTGCATCTGTGTGCAGACTCTGCCTCTCCCTCCCCATGTAACTCATGACTCCTCTCTGTGCCTCAGCTCCCCCCACAGGAAGCTAAAACCTCTGCCTCCCATGGCTGCTAACAGTAGTGACATCCTCAGTGGCAGCAACAGTAGCAGCAGAACAAGTTATAGGGCACTAACTAGGAATAGACTCTGTGCTAGAAGTCTAACATGGGTTCTCTGTTTCACCCTCCCACAGCCCAGGAGGCAGGTTCTTACTTGCTCACTTTACAGATATGGAGTCAGGTGCAGAGAGCAGAGAAGTGAGTTGCCCACTGTGGTGGTGCAGGGACCAGAACCTGCTTTTCCCTGACTCCATTCTGTGCCTATAGCCCAAGACCAGGCAAGTTCCTGCTTGAGAGATGGGTGTGAAACCCCACATCCTTCCTGCAGGTGCCTTTGGAGTGTCAGCCTCTGGTCCCTCTGTCCCTCTGAGTTCTCCCTGCCAGGTACTGTGGTGACCACATGGGATTCTGGGAATGTACTTGGCAGAAGTGAGGTCCAGCAAGGCCCTCCTTTCACAGAAAGCCTCTTAGCTTCAGTCTAGCCTGAGCCTGGATGTCTCTCTCTGATAAAGAACAAAGGAAGGTCTGACAGGGTGTTCAGTGCTGGGGGCAGAAGATGGGCAGCAAGCAGAGGGTACTTTGTCTACTTACCTGACTGTGAGGATGACTCTTCCAGGGCTAACAGCTCGCCCAGGCCTATCTGCTTCCTAGTCTGCAGGACCAGGTCCCAGGCCTGCTGCTCCCTGTATTGAGCCAGCAGGTGTGAGGCCACCTCCATGCTATCTGCCTTTTGTGACTGAGTTGTGGTCACAGCAGGAGACTGCTTGCAGAGATCCTGGTCAGGTAACTGGTGCTGCAACTCCTTCAGCTGCTCCTTTGTCATTAACTCCAAGATCTGGGCCAGCTGCTTCGGGATACTATCAGCAATCTTTGTTCCCCCGAGCTGGTCCACAGCACTGGCCTTGGCTGCTGCACTGGTCATCTCAATCTTGGCTGGGAGGGCCTTGAGGACGTTCACTGGGGAGGAGGTGCAGTGAGGGACATCAGGTAGGCAACAAATAGTTCTCATCCTTGGGCCCAGCCATCTCCCAATGCAAGATTCCCACATGGTTCATTATCCTCACCTGGTAAACTGCTGTTCAGCATTCAGAACCCACTTTGTAAGCCCCAGGACACCTGCCAGTGGATGGCATTGGGGGAAGAGAGGTGGAGGGGAGAGGCAGGCAAAGGCACTGGAAGGAAGAGTACAGAGGGGCTGGGGGACACTGGGATGGGGTCAGGTTACTGAGCAGCTGGGTCTGGGCTGGGGCATCAGGAGAGTGGAGGGGAGGGATAGGGGATGGGATGTTTGGGACACTCACTGTTCTGTGTTCGTCAGTCTTCCTTCTCCCTGGTCCTGGAGTCCTGGAAGCAGCCTTGTGCTGTGATGCTGACAGGAGGTTGGGGGGTGGTGTTCGAGCACAGGGTGGGCTTTCAGAGTGCAGAGTTAGCTCTGAGCTGCACACTTCTGTCTCCTTAGATTTCTCCTCTGCCTGGGATAGCAAAGAGGAAGAACATTTTCAGGACTGAACAAAGGCCTTTACAGGAAACCTCATGGGGGTGTGGCCAGGCGAGGGGAGGGGCCAGCAGAGTGCTGGGCAAAGTAGGAATTTAGTGTCAGAGCCCCAGACAGGCCACCCAGCAGTCAGGCCAGGGGCAGAAGTTTAGTTGGGCCGCTGTGCTGGGTGCAGGCCCAGTAACATGGAGGGACCTGCATCTTCACATGCTTACCCTGAGTGTCCATCACCCAGAGCCTGCCCACAGAGCCAGGGCTGAGGCTCTTCAGGAAGCTGGGTGTGTGGCCAGATTCAGCTCTCAGGATGGGTGGGCCCCCTAAATCTGACAGGGCAGCTCCTTATTGGGGCACCACAGTAGGCCAGGGAGCAGCTTTCCCAGCCTCTCATAGTTTTCTGGGCTCCTGAGGCCCAGTGCATTCCTGCCTCCCTGCAGGGGCCATTGAGATTGCATTCTGTCCAGGGGCCATCTGCCTTGGGGCTGCTCAGCACTCAAGTAGTAAACATCCACCCAAAAGGGGAACAGCCCCTGCCTCACTGCAAAACCAGGCCTCTGGGGATCTTTCTGCTTGTTTTGTAGAATCAGCAGAGCTGTGCACTCGAGATGGAGGAGGGACATCATCTAACCAATTCCCTGTGTATAGCAGTTTCTGGGGATGCCTTGAGCTGACCTGGTTTGGAGAAGCCCAGGCAGAAGGAGCTTCAGCTCATTGCCACTTGGACACAGACCCCCTGTGTGCCTGATTCAATTATCTGAGCCTTAGTTTGCTCACCTATTAAATGGGACATCCCATTTAGGTTTGGTAAGAGGCTCAAATTAAGCAAAAGATATTAATAACTTTAAAATGTTATGTAATATATTTTAAGTACATTTTATTGATTATGCTATTGCAATTTTCCCAATTTTTTTCTACTCTCCCCCCCACACACTCTGCACTCCTACTGTTACAGAACAAACAAGGGGGGCCTGGGACGATATACTATTATTGAAAAAAAAAGCCCCCAGGTCCGTCATGTCCGCCACCAGAGGAAAGACGTCTCTCAATGCCAGACATTTGTGAAATGGAAAGGAAATGTTTATTGAGTGCTATACAAACTTAAAGTAGCGACCTAATGTCTTTATCAAAAATCCCAAAGTCCCTTAAAACACCCACAAACAGACACAGTCCTTCCTTCCTTCCCCCTTTGCCCAGTCCAGAGTACCGTATCTCAGGAAAGGAAATAGAAGTCCATGGCTCAGGCAGTCCTCTGGTTCTTCCTAGTTAGTACTCCATCTCAACTGGGAGACCTCCCTGGGTTCCCGGCACCCTCAGCTGAGTCGCTGGGATCTCTGCTAAAACCAGGTGGTGGTTCCCCCTTCTAAAGCTGCAGGGGTCCCCACTCTGGCAAAGGCACGTGGTCCTCTCTCCCAGGGCCATGGGAGTCCCCACTCAGCCAAAACCGCGTGCTTCGCCCTCCTACAAAGCTGTGGAAAGGAGGAGTCCTCACTCTGCCAAAGCCACGTGGTTCTCCCCCTCAGGGCCACGGGAGTCTCCACTTTGTCAAGGCCATGTGGTTCTCTCCCCAATAGCTGCCGTGTCTGGGTTTAAATCCCTGCACCAATCTTCCTCTGCAGCCCCATTTCCGACTCCTCCTACACTCGGCTTCACATGCCAGAACTCATACCCTTCCAGCTTTACTGGACTGCCATCATGAGTCTGGGCAGGTGTAGTCCCATGTCATGGAGCCAATCATCTTCAAGCTTTCACGCAGGTGCTGTAACTCGGGGGACCTGACCCCCAGTCACGTCTTGGTGGGGTAGTTACTTCCATTCCCGTGGCTCAGAGCATGGCCACAGCTATTTAACATATCTAAGCAACCAGCCAAAGGCTATAGATATGTTAAATGACCATGCCAGAGGTTAGCTACAAGGCTGTTGCTATGCGAAACAGCTTTCAAAGGCCCTGTTCCACTTGTCCCTTCTCCCAACCCACACCTGGGGGGTGGGGGTGAAGACATCTTAAAATCTCCTGGACACCTTAAGTTCTGGACCCAATTTCAAATGCCTATTTGGGGTCCCCCCTCTTGGCTGCACCCTATAACATTACCCCACCAGCATTCCCCACGCCACCCTTAGTTCATGTTTATGAGTTGTATATATAAGTTTTTTTGGCTTGTTCCCTATATTATTCTTAACCTCATCTCATATGTTTTATGCTTACCAATTATGCTACCTTCCTCTACCATTCTTCCCCTCCTCCTCCCCACTGAAAACCCTCCATGTGATCTCCATTTCTCTCGTTCTCTTCCTGTTCTAGTTGTTTGCTTAGTTTTTGTTTTTTAGGTTCAGTTGTTGATAGTTACGAGTTTTTTGTCATCTCACTTTCATATTTTTTGATCTTCTATTCCCTAGATAAGTCCCTTTAACATTTCATATGATAAGGGCTTGGTGATGATGAACTCCTTTAACTTGACCTTATCTGGGAAGCACTTTATCTCCCCTTCCATTCTAAATGATAGCTGAGAGTCTCGTCTGACCTTGCCATAGAGACACCCCAGCTAGCAGACAGGATATCTGAACAAAGAGACTAGGCTAAGCACACACATAATCAGTCAGAGACAGGATATTTCCAGGAACTAGAGCTAGAAAGCGGAGGGAGCGAGTCCAGCAACTAGAGAGCCCAGGGAAAGAAACACCCAATAAGAGAAGGATGAAAGTAGAGCAGTTCAAAGTAACCAATTACAAGACTACTTTCCCATAGTGCACTTTTTTTTTTTCTTTAAAAACCCTGCACAGAACCACCCTGATGGGAGCTGGTCTGAGCTGGGAACTGGCCTCCGCTCAACTTCCCCTCCCTTGCTCTCAAGGGACCCTGCTTTCAACAAATCCCTTGCTTTGCTATTAGCTCTCTCTCTTCTCATAATTCCTCTGCGGCTCCAATCTCACAATAGCTTTGCTGGATAGAGTAATCTTGTATGTAGGTCCTTGCTCTTCATGTCTTTAAATACTTCTTTCCAGCCCCTTCTAGCCTGCAAGGTTTCTTTTGAGAAGTCAGTTAATAATCTTATGGGAACTCCTTCATAGGTAACTTTCCCCTTTTCTCTTGCTACTTTTAAGATTCTCTCTTTATCGTTAATCTGGGGTAACTTAACGATGACGTGCCTTTGTGTGTCCCTCCTTGGGTCCAATTTCTTTGGAACTCTCTGAGCTTCCTGGATTTCCTGGAAGTCTATTTCCTTTGCCAGACTGGGGAAATTTTCCTTCATCATTTGTTCAAATAAGTTTTCAATTTCTTGCTCTCCCTCTTCTCCTTCTGGCGCCTATATGATTTGGATGTTAGAGCACTGAAAGTTGTCCCAGAGGTTCCTAAGCCTCTCCTTATTTTGAATTCTTATTTCTCGATTCTGTCCCAGTTGGATGTTTATTTCTTCCTTTTGTTCCAAATCGTTGATTTGAGTCCTGGTTTCCTTCCCTTCACTGTTGGTTCCCTGTATATTTTGCTTTATTTCACTTTGCATAGCCTTCATTTCTTCCTTCATTTTGTGACTGAGCTCAATCAGTTCTGGGAGTATCCTGATTAACCAGTGTTTTGAAATCTGCATCAGATACGTTGTCTATCTCGTCGCTTCGCTCTTTTTCTGGAGTTTTGATCTGTTCTTTCATTGGGGCCATATTTTTTTGTGACAGCACACCTGTTATGTTTTAAGGGGGTGGAGTCTTAGGTATTCCCCAGGGTGGGGCAACCCTCTTTGCTGAGTTGTGGCACTGTCTGTGGGGGTGGGGTCAGAGAGGGAACAATGCTGCTGGCTTGCTCCTCACTAGCCCTGCTCTCCAACAAACTCTCTCATGTGAGACTGGGAGTTTCTCCAGCTGTTGCACCCCATACAGTATTTTATAGCTAGCTTTGAGTCTAGTCATCCATTCAGCCAGCCCAATCTTACCCACCCTGTCCATCCCCTTGCCATGCATCCTCTCCTGTCTCCACCCCTCCTGCCAATCTGCATGAATGTTTCTTTAACTCCTTGATTGTTGGAGTTCCATGTAGTTTGATTTTCTGGCACTTCTGGTTGTTTGTTGTTCTTAGATTGGTTGTTACCTTCTTTTGGTTGTGCGAGGAAGTGAAGCATTTCTACCTACACCTCCATCTTGGCTGGAAGTTATATAATGTGTCTGTGTGTTGTTTTTAGTGGCCAACAGCACACTGGAAATTCACCAGCCAGACCTACCAGGAGTGACAAGTGCTGACCTAGGAAGTGGGCTGATTAGCAGGATCTGAGCCCTCCATGAACGGCCCTGGGACCTTGAGTGGTGAGAGGGCTTGGAGGAGGGGTATGACATCGTTTTAATTCCTCCTGACCCTAATTAATGCTGACCCCAGCTCTCTGGACACCAGCTGAGTGTCCCATAACTCAATTTCAGTCTGACACTAACTACTAGTATTTAGTGCAGGTCTCATGAGTTTAAGGGCTCAGTCCCACAAGACTGCTCCCCACCTCAGTTTTCAGTCACCCACCTTTCTGTACAATTTGGCAACAAATTCAGAGGCCTCAATAACCCCGTCAGGTAATTTGCTTGAATGACTCACAGAACTAAAAAAAACATTTACTTATGGGTTTATTAGAAAGGATAGAACTTAGAAACAGACACCTGGAAGAGGTGCACAGGGAGAGGTTCAGAGGATTTTATGGAGGTTTCATTACTAGGCATGACTGAACTCAGTGGCCTTGGTGACTGAGTTCATCTCCAGCCCCTGTCCCTGTAGGTCCTGCCTTGGTCTTTCTGGTGACCAGGCTCCATTCTGAAGTTACCTAGGGGCCCTCACTCCTCTCACTAGTGTACAGAGGACTCTTATCACTCCAGAAACCCCAAAGTTGAATGAGAATATCTTTGTGTCAGGAATTGAAAACAAAAACCAAATGTTTATTTTTTGTTACATCATAAGGGTGCTACTAGAACTCTGGGAGGAGACTCCAGTTTTGGAGGTCAAGGTCAGGCAGAGAGAGGCTGATAGAGCAGAACAGTCACAGAGAAA